TGATAGTTTACATGGGAGAACATTAGTTTTACATTCATTCTATAGTATATCATTTGATTGACTCCAGATATTTTGACATTTCATTATAATATTTGACTTTGTCTTCTCTAACTGACCTTTGAAATTTTCTGTCCAGCTCTTGTACCTCTTCATTTCTTCCATTTGCTTTAGTATCTCTACGCTGGAGAGCAAGTTTCAGTGTCTCTTCTGACATCCATTTTGATCTTTTCCTTCTTTCTTATATTCTTAATGACTTTTTGCTTTCTTCATGTATGATATTCTTGATGTCATCCCACAACTCTTCTGGTCTTCAGTCTTTAGTGTTTAATGTATCAAGTCTGTTCTTTAGATGATCTCTAAATTCAGGTGGGATATATTCAAGGTCATATTTTAGGTTTTGTGGACTTGTTTTCATTTTCTTCAGCTTCAGTTTGAATTTGCATATGAGTAAATGATGGTCTGTTCCAGTCTGCCCTTGGCCTTGGTTTGACTGATGATATGGAGCTCTTCCATCGAGTGATAGCCCCTTTGGATAGAGTTGAAGAAAATGTGGAACAAAACTCAAAATTATAAAAAAAAAAAAAAAAAAAAAGAAAGAAAGATTGCGCTTACTGGTCAGAAAGAGACTGGAGGAGCTTGAGACTATGGCCCTTGACCACCCTTCAGCTCTAGAATAGAACTCAGCCTCGTGGCTCAATTTTCAGGCAAATAGTAGATAGGTATATAGGTGGGAACAATAACACTAGTAAGATGTGCTCACCATGGAATGGTCAATCATCCCAAATCAAAAGGGCAACATGTACCTAAGGACAAAATTGAGAAAGGTTGGGATAGTGGGTGAGATGGAAATAGGACCCACAGGGAGGAAACAAGATGTGTGGAAGGGATTGTATTCATTGAGATGGAACAAAATATATGAATATACATTGTTTAATATAAAACTGATGATGTTGTCTTTACATATTGACTCAATTCACAATAAAAAGAAAGAAGAAAAAGAGATCTATTTGACCAAAATGCAACTCTTGAATGATACAGCAAAGTGCTGAGAGGTGTTTTGGGATAGAGCAACTTTGTAAGTACTCTTGCCTACAACTCCGTCCCAGGCCACCTGAAAAAACCTTACCACAGGCCACCTGAAAAACAATGTATCTTCCCTTCTTAAAGATCACTGATATCTACTCTAGAAAGAGATTTCCTAATCACATTACTTTATATGCATTTGTTTGAATTAAGAAAATTTGTTATAATTTTATTAAAAGAATTTTTGAATAAAAATTTAGTTCATTAAAAAAAAAAGATTACCTCTTTGTAATTCTATAATACAGTTGTCATAACCTTTTGTGCTAACCTCTGCCCTGAATGTAACAGGTCCAACAGATCCTCTCAGAAGCCACGGTTTTGATTGGCCCTTTTGTTTTTGAAGGCACCCTGATGAGACTAAGATAAGTGTATTACTGGGATAATGTGGATGTAGTCATCCACGAATCACAGGGACATATTTAAACAAATTTCATTTGCAATAAAGTTGTACAATTATGAACTGGAATAGTAGTAGCAATAGTTTTTTACTTATTCTCATAGATGTCCACAAAAAAGAATTTATAGGAATACTCACTGTCATAATACTGAAATACTACTAAAAATTATAAATAACCTGACAAGTTCACTGATCAGGACTGACTACATAAATATAGCTTACCTAGTCTCTGTGAGATTATATGACAATGAAGAAGAGTAAGAAAAAGCCAGATGGACCAATATGGAAGGCACTGTCAGGATAAAAATCAAGGCAGATGAACAATGTATAGAAGTTAAAAAATCAAAAGCACATAAAAGAAATGGTGTATTTCTCTGAAGCAGACAGGCCAATCAGACACAACGGTTACTGAGAAGAGGGGACTATGTGGGGTTCAGGATCTACTTGAGTCACATGCATTTTAATGAGTATGTATTTATGAGTTGGAATCCCTGGATGGTACAAATGGTTGACATACTTGACTGCTAACGGAAAGGCTGGAAGTTTGAACCTACCCAGAGGACACTTGGAAGAAAGGCTGGGTGAACTACTTCCAGAAAATCTGCCATGAAACACCTATGGAGCACACTTCTACTTAGACCACCTGGGGTCAGAACGGAATGGACAGCAACTGATGAATTAGTTATGTAATTAAATTAAAATTTTTTTTTTGTAAATTCTGCTTTTTGGCACCTGCTCTCTTTTTCCTTTAACAAATCTTAGCCAAATGCATTGTTCTTTTCATGACCAATAACTGCATCTATAATTTTAACAAATTACTATTCAACTGGAGATGGTAAGGTATTATGTTACCTAAATAGGTAAGAAAAATTTATTTCTATTTTAATCTTAATATTTTTCTCTACTTTCCAAGTCTATGTAACAATCATGCAGAAAAAAGACCAAACCAATTATCTCTATGGGGGTGATTTTGCCCCTTAAGGATCAGGTGGCAATAATTTTGGCCCTCAGGGAACTGGAGATACTTTTGGATGTTCTAGTTGGTAGAGCCATCTAATGTGTAGAGAAATCTGTTTGACATCCACTTACAATGCATAGAACAAAGACTTACTGGCCTACAATATCAATAGTGCCAAGGTAGAACAATCCTAATCTAAATATTTAACACACAAGAAGCATACTAAGTGGAGTCCTGGTGTGATGCTGTAGCTAGCATAAGCACTCGACTGCAATGTCAGTTTGAACCATAAGGTCAGTGGTTCAAATCCACCAGCTGCCCTTTGGTAATCCTATACAGGGTCATTATGAATCAGAACCAACTCGACAGCACTTAACAACAACAACGTACTAGTTATACTCCAGTTGTGTTGTTTGTTCCTTTGACTGTTGAGTGGGGTGGGAGAAGAACCTAGTCTCCTACCTGAACAATGAACTGGTAGATCATGACCAAACTGACCAGCATGGTGACGTTGGCCAATAAGGAGAAGATGGACAAGGCTCGAAGGTTCCTGACAAAAACCAGCAACACCAGGAAGGGCAGCAAGGTGAGCATATACAACCGGGAGTCCATGGTGGGGGTTAGAATCACGGTTTCATTGTTGTGGCAGTTGTTGGTGGTCGCATTGGCTGCTTCTATCACCTACAGTGAGAGGAAGAGGCAAAAAGAGGAAAGGCTATTCAAGTGACAAAGGCAGTGGGCTTCCCACTGGAAGACATTCCTAACTGGGGAACCCAGTGTGTAAAACAGGCCTCCTAGAAGTCCGTGGCCAGTGACCTTCCTGAGTATCATTAATAAACCAATTATCTGCGTGGAGTTTGGTTGTACCCTGCCTAAAGACAGAAGGAGAGACATGACACTTTGAGACTTTTCTAAGTCCTGAGGCTTTAAATGAGAATTAAGCAAAAGACACTTTTATGTAAAGTGTTAAAATCTTAATTCTTCTGTTCACCTAAACTGAAATTCTAAACTGAAACTCCATTCATCCCCTGCCATTCTTCCTTTTTTCCCCCAGGGCCCCCTACCTGTTTAAAGTTGTCAGCCAAGAAGACAAAATATACACAGCAGAATCCCAGCTGCGTGACAATCAAGAAGAAGTCCACCATGTGCCTAAAGATGGGAAAGGAAGGAATACAAAGATCATTAGGGGAAAGGGAGACTTTCAGAGGGACAAGTGTCCATAACAGAGCTTTCTCCCAAGTGATCACCCCCCAGGTGACAAAGATAAGACCACTAGGTGCCACTAGTCTGGAGTTTCTGGAGAAAGGTGAGGCAGAAGCTATCTGTGTAGTGTCCAGGGACCCCTCCCTTGCTTCTTGTGTAGAACTCTTGTGATGTCAAAGAATCCCAAGACTGGGGTAAACAGAGCAAAGCAGAGCACAAACACCAGGACCACTCTCCAGCCCCTTGGTGTCCTCCCTGCCCACCTACCCCATTCCACCCATTTATCTAAAGCTACAGGGAACCCTCCATGTGACAGAGTAGGAAGTGGTCCCCTCACTCTCTCTCTCTCTCTAACTCGGGTTCAAGAGTCAACCCACTCTCACATAAGTACACAGAAACAGATGTACCCAAACACATTGCTGGGTGAGGCACTGTTCTAACAACAACAGCTGGTAACAACCTAGAGGGTCATCAAAAGAAAAATGGTTAAATTATAGACCATTCTTAACTGGAACATCATACAGCAGTTAAAAAGAATATGTTACATCTATATGGATTACCAGAGAAGAATGCTAAGACATTGAAGGGGGGGGGGCGAATAGCAAATATCAAAATAGTATGCATAGTATGGTTAATTTGTATACAAAAATATAAAAAAATGAAGAACTGGTGTATGTTTCTTTATATACAGAAAAGTCTAAAATGATACGCAGGTAACTGTGACTGATACTTTCATTTTATGCCCTTCTATCTTGTTTGATTTCTTTTTAACCATGATTACCTTTTACTAAAGGATAGAAGGGTGGGAAGGAGGGAAGGAGAGAGAAGTAAGAACAGGAAGGGGAGGAGGACTAGACAGGGTCAGGCAGGAAGGAAGGACCAATTAACCAACGGATCTAAGGTGGTCACTGGCAATCCGGCTTCCCCCAGTCACAGAACATAATTTTACTGAAAGAATTATGTGACCTGCATCCAGATGAATCAGACTAGGAATGAAGTTAAAAATATCTTTTAAGACCACAAAAAAGGAACTTCTCTAGAAAAATAATCACATTGTTGTAATGTGATTCAATGAGGAGGAGAAGAAGGGAAAAAAAAATGATTCAGTCCTTGATGATACTAATTCTTTGTGGCTAAATATAACATTTTCTCAAGTAGGAAATAAAAAATAGAATGTTTCCTTCTAGGCATCTGAAAAATTACCACAGAAGAAATTTCCACATACTCCCTACTTTCTCTGTACTTTCATTTCACCTAACAAACGTCTCACTCTCTTGTTCCTGCTCTCTTCAACTTCTCCTTGAAGCGCTTCTCATCTGGCGTAGTCTAACAACATGATCCTACAAGTTTCTTCTGCTCTGAGAGCCAAGCATGCAGTTCTAACTCCTGACACTCTCTTCCCGCTGGTGTATACTATGCTGGCTTGCATGGTTCTCTAGTTCCCACACAGCTCTATCTTTACATAGATTACTGGCCCCTGGAAGATGAGGGCCACTATTTTACCTCAGGGAATCCTGCTCTCCCTACACCTAGATTTGTTTTGTATCATTCATGAGACAAAGTTTAAAACAGTTGCTGAATAAATTAAATATAATCACTGATCAGAGACTGTCAGAGCTAGAGTGGCCCTTGGAGATTTTCCAGGCTAGGCTCTTTGTTTTACTGATGAGGAAACTGAGGTCTAGACCAGAGACAGAGAGGTCACACAGCTTATTACCTGCAGAGCTGAGTTAGACTATAAGCCCACTGAATTAAACAATGCATTTTCCACTATTATACTATCTCCCACATCTTACCTCTCTGTCTGAAGGCTTCCATATTGGGAGGCCCAGCTGAAATGAAAGAGGAAACAGTTACCTTCCCCAGTGGGCGTGGTTCCGGAGCCAGGAGCTGGGGCTAGATTCTAGCCCATACATCACTGTATCCCCATAGTCCACAAAGGGTTTGTTCAGTCTGGGAGGCAGGGAAAGAAAGAGGAAGAGCAGAGTGTATAGCTTAGAAAATGACAATGAAAAAACAAATAGGCCAGTCCCCCAACTGTCACCCTGGAGATACCACTCAGAGTCCTGTATCTACTGCCTTCAAGGATCTTAAGTGTTAAGCCAACAGGGCAGTTACTCTTGTTATAACCAACCACCACCTGGTGGAATCATTCCAGTGGGGTAAGTATTCCAAAGCACAGAACATCAGAATGTGGTCTCTATCTTCTGAACTTTCACAGATAACAAGTCAAAAGAAGAAGACACATATCTACACACACACATAAATCCCTAGGGAAAGGCTGTTGTTGTGCTATTGTGTGACATCGAGTCGGTTCTGACTCATAGTGACCCTGGTTCTGAGAGAGGCTGCTTGGTTTGAACTGCCGACCTTGAGGTTATCAGTCCTTTGGTTTATCCTATAGCAGTGCTGCAGTAACAGGCAGCTGTCTCCGGATCGTCTGCAGAACTCAGGAGTGATCTGTGAACATGGTCACTTTCAGTGTTGGGGAGTGAACACAGAAGGTCACTGGAAACGTGGCTCTGAGGACTCTCACCTGTGGCAGAAATGGTGAGCACATTTCACCAGGATCCCCATGCAGTGCACAGCCACGATGCCCATCACCAACAAGCTGAGAGGACCCATCTGGAGACAGGTTATGTGGAAAAGTGAAGGAGAGATAAGCAGGTAGAATTAGAAGTGAGCCCAAGGGAGACTAAATTGACAAGTGACTAAAATAAGACATATTCTAGGGGCAGAAGGTCTAGGCACAGCACTGTTACTGTTGTTAGGCACCGTTGAGTTGACTCTGACTCTAAGAGACCCCATGCAACGGAGCAGAAATGCCTTATAGGGTTTCCTAGATTGTAATCTTTACAGAAGGTGATCACCAGGTCTGACCTTCTGGTTAGCAGCAGACTGCTTAGCTGCTGCACCACCTGGGCTCCTTCTGTACAGTACTCAGAAGTGAAAGGTGACCGTGGCGCATGCCTGTGATCATACATGGAACATATATGGGCACTCTCTGAACCCAGCATGACTTTAAGAGAGGTCTATTCTGAGAGTGTCACTGGAGGCTGCTATGCCTCTTGGGAAGAGCAGGCTGGCTGAAGGGGGTTGAGGAGGAGCAATGCCAGATCTACAAATGTAGAGCTCAGCTAAGGGCTGTTCGCATCTCTGAACTACCTCCCAGTCTCAGAGAAACCCGAATGGCTCTGGAGATGAGGTATTATTGGCAGGAAATCATAAAAAGAAGTAAGATTCTGACGGTTGGCCATGTAGGGACGGGGCCTGGTAGGACAGTGTAGAAAGTCAACAGATTTCCGTTACTATAACTATTACTGATGGAAACTGCTTGCATCATTTTAAGTGCATTCTCCCTGCTGAAAGTAAGCTCCAGGAGGGCAGGAATCTTTGTCTTTTTTTCACTGACAGATATTCTAAGAGTTTAGAACAGTGCCAGGCACACAGGAGACCCTCAATTGCTGTTGTTGTAGCTATGTGCCGTCGAGTCACTTCCGACTCATAGCAACCCTGTATAGGCTTTCCAGAAGCGGCTGGTGAATTTGAAACGACAATGTTTTGGTTCAAACTGGCCTTGAAGTCCGGTGCATTATCCTACAGTGCCATACCAGGAATCCACTTAATAATCTAATTAAACACACACGCAGAATCTACTTTTTAAAATTTGTCACCACATTTCCCCTCCATGGATAAAGATCCTTACCAAGATGCCTGCATTTTTCACCGCCAGAGGGAGCCCCAGAAGTCCTGTGCCAATATTGCCTTTCAACAGGTGGATCAAGGTCTGGAACCATCTGAGTTAGAAAGAAGTTAGGCACAGGAATGTTAATAATAATAAAAGCTGACATTTCTACACACTTAGCATTATGCTAAGTGTTTTTATACATGATGTCATTTAATTCCTACAAGAAACCCTTAGGGTTGATACAGGGTTAACAGCATTTTACATATGAGGAAGCAACTTGTTCAAAGTCACATACCTACTAAATAGCTGAGCCAGCATTCAAACCCAGTTGGTCTGACCCTAGAGTTCACTCTCTGAAACACCATGCTGTAAGCCTCTGCTTTCCTGTATCATTTTCGATCTTGTGAGATTAGCCCAAAAGGACAAAGGGTTTCTCTTATGCACCCTTGTCCTTTTCTGTACCTAACTGAACTTGGTTCCAACCACAGAATTGGTCGCTGTAATGACTCAGATTTATACTGCAGCAGAGATGACAAACTTAACTCGGAAGGCTCAGCGCTGGTGTAGGAAAGTTACAGGAGACATCAAATGTCAAGCCCCCAAACCCTGGAATAGAAAGTTTTATGCACAGTGTGTAGAGTGGAGGTCACACAGTACTACAATGGATCGGAAGTCCCCAGAGGACTTTGTTGTTGTTTTTTTTTGAAGTCGAATGCCATAGCATCCCAGGCTTGGAAAAATCCTCTGCAGACAGTCATCTCATGCATCCTTCTGCCTGATGCAGATGTTTCTCTTTTGCCTGTTGTACTCACTAAACTGTAACATTTCCACATCCACATTTTCTTTCAACTAGTATGCTCTCCCATGCATAAAGTACTGCGCTAACAACAGTGGTGGCCACAAGTATGAATCAGACATGGATTTCTAGAAGTTACTGTCACAAGGGAAATGTGGCATACACATCACGTTCCCTGCCTTCAGAAGTGCTCAGGTGCAGTGTCCAAGGAGAAGGGAGACACGTGAGGCTTTAGAGTGCAGGAGAGACCAATGGAGGAAAGCAGAGGGTGACAAAGACACTCCAGACAAACGGAGGCCTGGTCACAAAAACATACAGAGAAACGTGGGGCATAACCAAGGAAGAGTGCTTGGTTTAGTGGCTACTTAGGTGAGTAAGGAGTTGCCATTGTTCCCTGTAGGAATGGGAACACATCAGACGACTTCAGCATCTTCTATCCTCTGTTACCTCAGGAAGTTATGAAATGCGCAAAATGCAGTACATCACTTTGCTCTACATCACAGACTCATTCTAGATTTGGGCCCTGGCTCTGCCTGGAATTTTCCTGTACAAATAACCTAAATCCTTCCTAATGCATGCTTACCCACATCTCTTCAAATCTGGACTTCAGTAGAAACTGAAAGTGAGTAACACCGGTTCCTTATAAGGGCTATAAATAAGATCCACTGTATGTGTGGAAAGGAATGTTATTTTCAGTACTCTTTCTCCTTCTTCCTCTAGAAAGAAAACTTCTTGACCTTCCTACTGTCCCCTAACTTTTCAGGAAAGATCAAGGAGACCATGTTGAATCTGGACAAGAAGAGGTTCGGTGCTCTCCTGGACTATGCTGAGGAAATAGCTTAATGACCTTGTGAGTCCAGGAGCAGCTTTCATTATCAGCAGCCAGTGGCCAGGAGATACTGGGCAGCATGGGAGCCTAACTAATGTCTATCCTGGCAAATGTTTAATTCACTGAAGGGCAAAGGTAAGCACCATGCCAAACCCACCTGCCTACCAGAACCTCCCCAAAAGCCCCTGAGCCCAGCTCCCGCTAGGTATGGCTCTGTGCTAAATCCATACAGCAATCCTCTTCCCTTCCCTCTGTCATCTCTGGCTCACCTGGAATCTCCAGAGTCCCTTCAGCTCTCCAACACCAGGACTCTTGGAGATTGGCCAAAATTACTCTTTCTAACTGAGCAACCCAAGTTAGTATATCCAAAATGTCAGAGAGTCACAAACCAACTCCAAGGATTGCAAAGCCCTAACTTACAGAGTGGACTCTCCTTCTGAAAAGATAGGGGCTATAGGGATGGCAGATCTCTACAGTTACTTTATGCTCCAGGTCAGAATCTCTCTTACATTTTTGTTTCAAGATACCTTTAAGCTCTTAACAATTATTGAGGACCTTATATAGCTTTTACTAATGTGTATTATATTTGCTACTGGTGTTGTTAAGGGCCATCGAGTCAGTTCCAACTCATAGCAACACTGCACAGGCTTTTGAGGAGCAGCTGGTAAGTGTGAACTGCCAACCTTGTGGTTTGCAGTCCTGTGCTTCTGATGCTACAGTGTCACACCAGAAGTGTATGGTGGTGGTGGTTATGTGCCATGGAGTCGGTCCAACTCAAAGTGACCCTGTACAGGGTTTACGGGGTTGTAAATCTTTACAGGAGCAGAAAGCTTCATCTTTCTCCCATGGAACAGCTGGTAGTTTCGAACTGCTGACCTTGAGTTTGCAGCCC